CTGAGCACAATAAATCCCTAATTCTGGTGTTTTGTGTATTTTCCAACAGCCCAGATACGACAAACCCCAACGAGTTTTTTTCGAAAAAAATGCGTAAAGAAGGCTATGCTTAACAAACAGTCATGCAGGTGCTGGGCAACAAGAGGCGTCGCCACAAGTACTGGATCTCCCTTAAATGCCTCGATTGGGTGAGGGAGTGAGTGAGTGCAGGATTCGCTTGCCTTCTTGATGATCTAAACTGTGGCTACTTGTTTCCTAAAGCCCTGACTCTGTCCATCTGGATACAGCTGCATGTCAGGCTAATTAATTCACTTCTAGCGTGTAGAAAGTTAAATCCTCGATGTCACCTACAGAGAACATCAAAAGATGTATCGCTTACAAATTAGTTTCTCAGTGGGCGTTGGTAGACTACCCGGGGTTACATGAGACCGGGTTTTGCGTATTATGTGGCTGGCTTACGCTGATGAAGTTATGGCGTCGACATGTGAGAAATGCGACATGTTTGCATTCCTGATAGGTGCAGGACAGGTGAGTTTGACTTGGAAATAAATCGCCTTAAAAGGTGGGTCCGAATTTCAGGTCCATACTCGGATATGATAGACAGCAACACTCTTGCAGTATTGGGCAGTTTCTGTTAACTAGGGTTCAATTTTCTGCCAAACGGGTAGAATGAAAATAACACTGACAACCTGAACAACCAGGCGCGAATACCCTATGACCGACTCCATCGATAATTCTGGCGTCCGGAGATGATTTAGAGAACCAAACTATTCCTACTGCAAGCTGGCCGTGACGAAAGCTGAGCTGGGATACACATCTGCGAATCTGAAGTGTCGGTTGTTTCAATGCCTCTGGTAAGTATGTCCTCAACGTCCGCAACAGACGGTGATCAATGGGGGATTCGGCGAACTCGTAACCTTATCGTATCAGTCTAAGTCGATCAGGACAGACAAAGAAAATCAACGAGACACTCCACTCATCCAAGCGCCAATTCGGCAAGTGCGGGGGGTCGTGAAGGAAATCGGATAACTCCCGGAATGACTAATACAATGCTTCTGGTCCCAAGACAAAAAAAAGACTGAGGACGAATAAACAAAGAAGTAGGCTTTTAGTGTGCAACCTACCCAGTCAGGCTGAAGACACCGATAATTCACCGTACTGGTTCCGGCTTTACCACATGACCCATGAATACTGGCAGTCCTGAATCGCTAACAATAAAGAGCAGGAATGGATGATCTACGAAGAAGTTTGGTACTGGCATGGG